TTGGTAATACACTAAATAATGCATTTGCAACTTTTGCTTTTTTATTCTTTACCGCTCAGCGTATATCAGTCCCATCATACCTAACTAACCTAACCTAACTTTTGCTTTCTGTGTCAATATTTAATCAATTATAAAATCTAAAACTTATTCAATCGTTACTTGTAGGCGGAAAAACTAAATTAAAATAAATATTATACTCGTCTGATATACAATCTGTTGTGGATTATCAGAGATAAAACTCGTTCTTTACTATTTCCATTGAGTATTTTAAATAGTAATTTTGTAAGTAAAAATAATAGGCAATTTTTTGATTAAAATAAATATTACTTATTTAGCTTATCGAAAAATTGGCGATATATTGATGATGGGCCAAATTATGGGTACTAATAACCGACTAGTATGTCATTATCATCATCATTACAGCTCTTCGCAAGTCAACTACACATAGGCCTCCTCCAAGGAATTCCACAAAGCACTGTCCTGAACTGCCTGTATTCAACGACTTCCTGCATGTCCTTGCCAGTTTGTCACTCCATCTAGTGGTGGGACGCCCTACAATTCGCGTGCCGGTACGAGGCTGCCATTCCAGAATCTTTCTACCCCATCGGTTATCGGTTCTACGAGCTTTATGGCCGGCCCATTACCACCTTAGCTTACTAATACGTTATGCTATGTCGGTCACTCTGGTTCTACTGCGGATATCCTCATTACTAAGTTCATCACGAAGAGAAAACCCGAGAATAGCACCCTCCTTATCTCACTGAGCGACTTTGAGCGACTTCATTCGGCCAGTAGAGAAGAACCACATCTCAGATCCATAGGTCATCACTGGTAACACGCACTGGTTGTAAAATCTTTGAGGTATGTTTCGACGAGAATGCGTAGGTATTATGGATGTGATCAGGATCGTACCAAATGGAAGTCCGTAGTCACGGCCTAGGTGTTCTGGGTGACAGGCGCGAGTGTTTTTGTTTATAAATATTTCATTATTTAATACGAAATGCAATAGTATGTTTACCAGAAATTGTAGGTTCTTATTTATTTAGACCTATTCATTATTTTCTAAGCATCGTTCATTAAAAAACGCATTGTAGGACGGATGGTGCACAATCTGCGCTAGGCAGCTGGCAGCAACTGGATTTATAGGAGAGGGATCAAACGTTTATACGGCTCACCTTATGGTAAGTGACTACCGGAGCCTATGAACAACTGCAGCACCGGGGAATTGCAGGTGCATGGCAAAGTCCCTATCGGTCCGGAAAAATTCGCCGGTGCTAAATGATTCCACGGAGAGGTCGTACGAGGAAGGAAACTTCTAGTAAAATGCATAGTGGTGAACCGCCGAGCATCCAGATGGTGTGGATGGTATCGTGAGCTATGTCCTCCTCCTCCTATGCTATATGTATGCGATGTACGTTAGCGAAATTTGACGGCTGTATTAATCCGAACAATTCCTCAGAGCAGTCCCCGTATTAGATACGATAGAAAATGCAAAGAGGTGCAACATCTCATTCTCACATCCTTCGATATGTCGACGCCTAGGATTCCGATACTGGCTGATGAAGGTGGATGCGTGAGAAAAAGAATAAAAGTCAGACTAAGTGGCGCGCTAGGCTTGGGTAAAAAATATCGATATTAATATCGTCGATATTTTAATTGCGATATACTGATATTTGATATATTTATTTCAGAGTATTGAATTCGTATCAATTTCGATATATTTTAAAATGTTATATTAATCGACAAAACACTAAATAACAAAAAGATCCACGTGCTGTGTTTTTTCGTCGTCCAACTGTTTAGTAATAAAATTTTGGGCCTTATCCTACTACATCCCGCAAAACATGATGATATATCGATATTTCTCACGCGATATATATCGATACTCTTTAAAATATCGATATATTTTTCAATGTGCCCATCTCCATGGTGCGCCTTGGGGTAGCTAACTAGCTGTGGACTGCCGCAGATATGATGACGATGATGACAGTTCATTGACCCTAATAATCTTTGCCTAGCGATTTATCTACACCATATTTAAAAATGACTAAAACGAAATAAAAATTTTTGTGCCTAAACTACTAAATGTATTTAATATTTTTTGCCTACGTTAAAAAATGCTGATTTAATAACCTAATAATAGCAGTCGAAAAAGTTTGAATGTAAAAGAAAATTTATTTCGTAAAATACGGATGCCTTTTCTTTCTTCAGGAAGTAACCTTTTTGAGTATAGCTACTGTACAGTTCCTGACTACAATTATTGTACAATACACTTCCTAAGTTCAATATCAAACCATTTTCAACTGACTTCAAAAAGGAGGATGTTCTCAATTCTACTGTTTTTTGTGTGTTTTTAAAAAAGTTTTTAGGTAAAAGAACTTATTTCTAATTTTGATTATTCTTTTTTATTTAAAAGCTGGTTCCTCTCATGTGGTGCGTTCCATATAAATTGAATCAAGATCTGACCAGTCAAAAACTTAGTTATCCTTAATAATGCGTATTTGACTGACTTCGACATTGATGATACATTGATGATGTTCTGATTTTATTTATATTGAAGTTGGTTGTACAAAGTCCTTAATTTTACCACTTATTGTTTTAAAAAATCTTCGTTGAGTTCGCGCTTTACATTATTTAGGGGACTGTTTATGACGAAATACATTGAAAGCAAAGGACTAAAAGATAAAATAGGTGAACGTTGACGTGCTCTAGATACGCTATAGATACTCCATGCTAAAATTGGGTCATGTCGATCATAGTCCTTTGTATTGAGGTAAATTTTCATTATGGTCAAGCATCCGAAATATAGGAAAATAAAATGCATAAAAATAAACGTTTACGTAAAAACGTTAATGATATTGTTAAGATGAAATCCTAACTGTGACATTTCTTAGTCCACTCAAAAGCGTCAAAAAATAAACTTTTAATAAAGAGTGAAAACATCCTTCAAAAAACTAAAAAATAATAAATTAATTTCCACATTCTAAAGTCGGGGGCTTTAGGGCGTCTGCTATCTCGCACCGTGATCCCGTCGCGGGTACACGCTGCGGGTTGTGTCACGTGTGACCCACACCCGCACCCAGCGATCCCGGTTAACGCAACGCCGCTATACTACTTGACTGTGAGCGTGTACTTGTCGTGCCGTACGTAATGGATTACTTTATATACGTAATTGACGAGCTTCTACGTAATTATAATTTATTTACGCATGTTCGGTTTATACATTATCCCGTACTATTAAGTATTTATTGAATGGACTTGATACGTAACTTAATATGAACCTACCTTACCATGTTAGGTACATACCTATATATATATTATCCCATATTTTATAGTACTTATATAATATACTTAATATTAATAATTTTGCATCAATATTAAACAAAGTATTAATAATACCAACACCTACTTTCCTTGCATTATATTTAACGCATAATAATCGACTCTTGATATCGGATACAATATATCAAATGAATTCTATAAGAACGTCCAAGAAGTCCACTGCTGAACAAATTCAGCAGTGGACTTGCGAAGAACATTAATGATAATGATGACCTCTGTTCCCCAAGGTCTGCCACACAGCACGGTCCTGAGCCATCCGCATCCATCGACTTCCTACATGTCTTACCAGGTCATCAATCCATCTAGTGGGGGCTCACCCTACACTTCGCCTACGAGTACAAGGCTGCCACTTGAGGACTTTTTTCCCCATCGGTTATCGGTACTTCGAGCTATATGGTCAGCCCATGGCCACTTCAGCTTACTAATCCGTTGGGCTATGTCAGTCACTCTGTTTCTACTGCAAATATCCTCATTTCTAAGTTTATCACGCAGAGAAACCCCGAGTATAGTATAGAGTAGTTCTTTTAAAATTAATAATAGAGTACTCGTTAATGTTTAGGGTATATTTCGCTGGGGAACATTGTACCATACACAAGCAGCATCGCCTATTTATTAAAATTTTTGGGTGGTATTAGTTAAAAGATTTGTTGATTAAACCAGCACTTAAAATTGGATACTTGGAATAGAACCCTAATACCATATAATATGGTGATTAAACATTTCACTTTATTTTACTATACTAATGTTGTAAGCTAAAGACCTTTTGGTAGACAGCATATTTTTAACTGTGGTTGATCATCATCGTCTTCATTATTTCCTTTACATATTCACTTCTGAACAAAGGAAGATCAACGAAACACGGTTGAGCCACCTGCATCCACCGGTTAATGATCTTTTATGTCTTACAAGGTGGTATACATATTTGATCACGCCTTCTTATAGAATCATTCCATCTTAACTATCTATGGGGAAGACCTGTATTTAGCAGTGTAGTGCTCAATGGAAAATGATAACAATATAAACGTTGCATCTTTTATTGATTGAAACTACTTTTACGGATTTTATCGCGTTTAATTTTAATTTTAATTATTTTTATTTTTAATTCCCGACGTTTCGGGCGCTTTCCAGCACCCATGGTCACTGAGGACTGAGGTGACTGACGTCCCGATGTCATTGTTAAACCGTTTCAGCTTTTTTAATTATTGTTTATGGTCCGATCTATGCAAAATGAACTGACTATGTCCTGAAGTCTTGCAGTGGTATGCTTGGGTTTAGTTTTAATTTCATTGATTATAGGATCCCAAGCAGGTGGTAGTACCAAGCCTCCTTCTCTATTGAAATTAGGATGTTTTTTAATTTCAATAGCCTCACGTATCATCCTTGGTAGGAATCGGTGTTTTTTCGCGAGGATTGGTGGTCTATCAAATCTGATGTACATGTAATGGTTGGGGCCGTCTAGGATAATTCAAAAAAATTAAAATTAAACGCGATAAAATCCGTAAAAGTAGTTTCAATCAATGTGTAGTGTTCGCGTAAATATAAGAAATCATGGTGCATCTTTCATTTTGATGTTAATAAAAAGAAATCTGAAAAAACATTGTATTTGTTACAGATCCAACCCTATTCTGTTGCTAATTTGCATACAACAAGAAGCAAAAATGGTAAGTCTTAATTAATTTTATTATTACTCGACTGCCCTAGAACGTGCATAATATGTCTTAAGTGTATGTGTGTATGTATGTCTATTTATTTGAAAGGCTCTGTAGCCGAAACGACTTGATAGATTTTAACATGGGGCGTAGTAAAATTCGCCTTAGTTAAAAGAGTGCGCAGTGATAGGATTTAAATTTTTCTCTTTTCAGTAGACTTCACGTAGTTACTGTTTTACTATTGTTGTAACCATAGAATACTATGATACATACTTAATAGAACGGGGGAGTGGGCGGAGCTCGTGTAGCCACTAAAATGTCACTAACACGTCAATTCACACGTATAAACGTCAACACGAGACGTTACAATCGTTTCCAAATTTCCCATGCAAATTATTTAGAAAATGCCAAATTGCACGCTACTTACAAATATATATGTATTAAAATCTGTCTGTCAACACAGCGAATCGGGTTTGTAGTAGTGATAATACGACGTTATTGCTTGTATGGGTGCTCCCGGCGACACCTACCTTCGTATAAAAAGGTTGACAGCCATTCTATTGTGTATTATAGTATTCTATGGTTGTAACCATATCTTTTAATTACTTAAAATTACTTTACTGATATATCATTGCATACTTTAAATTAATATTGGCTATATTATTGAGAATCGGAGAATAAGCCAAAAATATGTAGGTATGCAGGTATTTGAAAAATAGTGAAAACCGATATATCTTAAACTAATAACATAATAGCTTCTGCAGAAGAGTTAAAGACCAGACTTCAGAACTTTAAATATGGAAATTAGTTTGCATTTAAAACCGGTTTTTAATTTTTATTTATTTTCAAGTATTTTTACCCTTTTGAGTGCACCAAGGAATAAGTAAAGTTTGAGTAACAGCTAGAATGACGTCTACATTAGGACTTTCATTCTCTATTTTTTATAGGTTAGGGGTGATAAATAAGCACACAGTCCACCTGATGTTAAGTATTAGCTGTAGCCCGTAGACATCCACTTCTATCCTCTTTTGCGAATCAATATGTAGATGCGTTACCAGCCGTGAGGACTAAGATGGAATGCGTCTTTTCCAGTAAAAAGAGTCTCCGGTTCTTTACACTCATACGAAACACAGCAGCATTGCTCTGATGTTTTACGCTGGTATTCTGAGAGAGCGTGGTCCTCCCCCGGTCGAGCCGACCCATTCGTACTACAACTATAACAATTTATAACTGCAGCGTGGCTCTATCACGTACGTTTTTTTACCCTTAAGAAGGATTTTTTTTTAATTTTAATGGTACAACCAATGAAGTAAAAACTATTTTATAAAATTAAAACAATCAAAGTCGGTTCATAAAAATCAATTTGTGCCAGAACATACATAAAAATATTTACAGACACACTGAAAATCCCTTTGTTTTGAAGTCGATTAAAAGTTAATATTAATATCCCATTATACTGTCACATTCCCGAAATTTCAATTTAACTTACTTCATAATAAAAGCATAATAGATTTTAGTTTACTGTAGCTAATGGAGCGGTCCACGCAGGAGGGATAAACGAAAATTTTGTGAAGCTCCAACCTCATATGATTTTGCCAGTAATAGGTATGAATCTTATATGTATTATATCACGGGTCATAATCATAAGGTAACAATGGATTCAATGAGCTTAGCAATATTTTATTGAACAGGCCGCAAAAAGACTCTTTGAACGTCAAATAATATTAGTAGGGCAAATGTTATTATCAAGAACAAACAGATAAGCTTCAGATAGACAGAATAAAATGTAGAGAAACATCTTACGAGCACATTATGAGTCTTATTTTTTATATGTAAACAGATTTTATTTTATGAAAAAGTCTAAAAATTTTACGTTTCGATTGAAAAATTGCATGCGTATTTGATTGAATAACAATAGTATCAATAAATGTAGTAGACCACAGTGTTCGCAGTGATCTTGACTGATCCTACAAAACCTGAATAAAACCCATGATGGTGTCTTGCGACCCCCACGATAATAAATTATCGTACGCCGCCATCACACCGCATGTGACCGGTGCTAGTAGCTACTTTTTGTTGTTACATAGTTCTATTTAACAAAAAAAATCGTATTTCAACTTAAAAAATTCAAAAACTTGACCTTTGAATTTACCCATAGGATAGAATGGGATGACGGATGTTTTAATGTCACAGCTCAAAAAAAAAAACAGAAATCACGAAAACTGAACGAAGCACGTTTGTGAGATAGTTTTAATATTTAAAATATTAAACATTAATTTTATGGACACTATAAAATAACGAAACTAACAGGAATTTTGGGATTGCATTGTCTAATTATTTTGTAGATGAAAATCTACGCTTTGAAAGTTCAGACGAGAATTATACGGTAAGCGATGGAAGATCGACGGAAGCGGGCTTCCGCTCATTCCTCGGAGTCAATATTGGTCCAATACTAATGGTGTGTCTTTGACACTTGTTGCATTCGATATTTCCGTATGCTTAGCAATAAACTGTGTACGTGTTATGACGTTATGTTTCAAATTCGAAGATCAATGGCACATAATACAATAAAAGTTGTAATATTTTTACACGTAATTGAAGTTGGCCTTTTATTTTTGTATACTGGGTGATTTTTTTACCGTCTGGTAAAAGAAAGGTTAACAGGTGAACGGAATAGAAGTCTATGGCATATGGATATTTTTATTTTATTTTACATTAATATATTATGAAATTGATCAATCAACAAATACTACTAATTTTAAACAAGCTCTCGGTACTAAAAAATAAAAACAAAATTTGTGAACTAAATAAATAAATCATTTTAAAGCTATGGAAATTAAAATAACACATACCCAAATAGTAGTATTTATTGATAGATCAATTTCATAGTATGTAATGAAAAAGCAAAAAATATGTAAAATATCAGTGTCAGGCTTCTATTCCGTTCACCCGTAACACGCCATTTTTTCCAGACGTTAGAAAATCACCCAGTATACATCCATTTATTAGAAATAAAAGCAGACTGGATGTGTAATTTTCTCATTCAGAAATAAAACAGGGGACATCATCATCATCATCATTACAGCCCTTCACAAGTCCACTGCTGAACATAGGCCTCCCCCAAGTAATGCCACAAAGCACGGTCCTGAGCCACCTGCATCCATCGATTTCCTGCATATCTTACCAGGTCGTCACTCCATCTAGTTCGCCCTACACTACGCCTACCGGTACGAGGCTGCCACTCGAGAACCTTTCTTCCCCATCGGTTATCGGTTCTTCGAGCTATATGGCCGGCCCATTGCCAGCTTCAGCTTACTAATCCGTTGGGCTATGTCGGTCATAGCCCAATTGCTTGTTGCCAATGATGACTTACGGATCTGAGACGTGGTCCTTCACTGCTGGCCGTATGAGGACGCTCAAGGTCGCTCAGCGAGCTATGGAGAGGGCTATGCTCGGAGTTTCTCTGCGAGATAGATTCAAAACAGGGGTTGCTTTGATAAATTTCTATCGTTCACGGAATTTTGAAAATGTCCCAGGACGCTTATTAGTAGACATCTAATAAGTATACAACATGTTTATATATAGATATACAATATCCCAAAGTTGGCCAGGGATGAAAGAAGAATTAAGACTGTTTATTTTTTTTAAAGAACTCCAAGCTTCAAGCTTAAAAAGGTAATATCTACTGTTTTCTGGAAAAAAAAATATTGCTAAGAAGCTTATTATTTTTTACAGACTGACATTTTATCTAAAGAAATTTATTAAGACCTTCTATCCCGAGGGTCACCGTAACAAATGTTACATAGTTTGTTTTGAATGTCATACAATTTACCTTGGTAGATAAGGTAAATAGTAAATTGTACGCGGTAATTTAATTGTATATTTTTATATTATCTGCTTGTACTCAAAACTAAAGTTTTATTCTTAAAAATAATGTCTTATAAGCTTAGAGATTTTGACAAAAGAATTACCTAGGTATACTATAATTTGCAACGGAATGGTGATACGTGATGGGTAAAAGAATGTAAATAAAGCTCTTCGGGAAATAAAAGCAGGATCACTACGTCATGTGATTGTCACATGAAACAAGCGTCTCTTTTCAAAGTATTTATGTGAAAGGAAATTTATTCATTTATGGAAGAATGTTAAAGTATATTTATTTTAATTCTGTCATGTTTATCTACAAATACCATAATCTATAAAGATCTATTACTTATAAATTATAATTTATTGCAATCATTAGTAATTAATGTAAATGAATTAAAGTAGAGCTATGCTGCAGCTATATTGTGGTTGCAGATCGAATGGGTCGGCTTGACCGGGGAAAGGCCTCGCTCTCAGCGAATACCAGCGTAAAAAAGCTGATCAATGCTGTTGTGTTTTGTATTTTCACGTTAGTCCTAAGGGGTGGCAACGCATCTGCATTTTAATTTTTAAACGAAAATAGATCTAGATGTTTATGGGTCACAGCATTCACTTACTATCAGGTGGACTGTGTGCTTGTTTTCACCCTTATTCTATAAAAAATTGCTATTATTTTCACTACTAATAGGTCTTCATTGTCGACATTCTTTTAGTTGCCATCGATAATTTATTATGATTTCAGTCCTCACTTGGTCCACTAGTTGTAATCAACTTTTGGATTATACTTGAAACTTGTTATTATCTGGATCAAGTAATTATTGACTAGAAAGTATTTTTTCAGTAATCAACAAATTTTTCTTTGATATTAATTTACATTGTAGCGATCGATTGTAGCTTGACAGTGATCAGAGCAGATTCTAATATTCGGCCATGAGTCTGATCTTTAATTTCTCCCGGAATTGTGCAAAATTACAAATTTTCTGTACATGATTTCAATACCAAGAATCCTCAAAGGGACCTATGAAGCTTTTATTAGTTTTGTGACACGGTAATTAACTTGATGATTTCGAAAAGTGAAAGGAAGTTAGAAAAATACTTATAACCAAATACGTGGTTTAACGTGGTAGAACCGTACTTATGTGGAACTA